TTGAATACAAGAAACAAGCAAACCTATACTATATCTCTATATAAATAGTAGACGCAATCACAGATGCATATTTGTAAGAGTTCAAATATTATATATTTGTTTGTTTCTGAAGCTTGACCTCGATTATCTTGTAGCAGTAAGAATACTACCATATCATTTATAAAAAAACCCTATTGAACACATAATATCAATACTTAATCTAGGATTACAAAGTATAGGGTTAATATATAGTAAAATAGAAGATAATTATGAAAAACTTTTAAATAAAGCAAATACAATAAAAGAAATTAGAACTATTGCAAAATCAAACCCAATATTCAAAAATAATCTTATTAAAAGTATTCAAAATCCTATTAATCTTGTTTATAAGATATTCAAAAGGCAGTATCTGAAAGATAATCTGTTCGAAACATATAATACTATATCAGATAAAAAGATAAAAATATTTTGGAAGACAATTCATCAGATTGATAAAACAGTAATCTATAGTAATAGTACAATAGACATATAAAGCAAAGAGTAAGTGGCTAAACACGTAAATAAAAAAAATAATTAATAATACTTTTTTTTTTTTAAAGAAATGCTTGACACCTTTTATAACTATTGTTGTATAGCTTGCTATTATTCTTTTATAATAAAAAAATATAGAAAGGATAATTGTACTATATGTAAACCACCTCAATATTCACTTAAGATTTTTAATCAACTCCATTGCCTTCCTGATTCAATTTTAGAAGATGATTTATATTACAAGTCTTTCAAAGAACTATATAGTACTATAATGACTGAAAAGTATAGATCTTTATATCAAGAAATAATACTTCGATCAAAATCTATTAAAATGAAATAAAAAAACAAATTAAAGCATATAATACTATTTTGCCTCTCTGCATTATGTGCTAAAAATATAGGAGTTACTGTTAATTGCACAGAATACAACAAACTATGACTTCTATTTAGTGCAAAAAAGATATTAGATAATGACTATCGAATACTTTGCCAATTTTTAGACACAATTTTATATATCTGTAGAATAATATTTAAAAATACCAATGAGTTAACTTCAACAGTACTATTATCAGCTAAATCTCCAAATAACTGTTCTGACAATAGTCCATCACCTTAATTAGCTAGATCTTTAATTAAATATGATAATGATAAGAATAATGATTATAAGAATAGTATCGATTTTGACAATAATATTGTATCTGAAGAGGAAGAAAAGGATCAAAGCAATCAAGAAGAGGAGGATCAAAGTATTTAAGAGGAAGATGATCGAAGTGATTATACTGATACTGAATCTGATTTTGCTAGTAACAATATTAAAGTTGTAATTAGTGATCCTGTTCAAGAGCTTTTTATCTATATTTTTGTAAATAACTCCTGAACATGTGCTTCTCCTATTAAAAAACTATATTACCCAGCCAAAATTTATCCTAGTATTTGTTATATTTGCAGTAATCCTGATGTTAGAAAGACAAAAAATATATGTCTAACTTGTAATAACTATACTACAAATTTAAAAAAATGTTATAAATAAAAGCTGACAAATAAAAATAATAGAAAAAATCTTGTAATAAAATATTGTAAAATTAAAAATTCATTAGTATTAATAGTAGTATTAGTTATTATATATACATATGTTGTAAAAGAGAAAAGTCATATAGGATCGATGTTGAAGTAGTTCAAGTCGATAGCAATTATGATAGTAATAGTATATAGAGAAGAAATGGTAGCAATGTTAGTAAAAATTCTGTACTAACAAAAATGTATATAAAGTCTTATAATTTTGTTTAAAATAAAGACAACTCTTCTTGAGTTCAAAAACTACAAAAGTATTTGAGTAGTAATTCTTTTAAAGTTCTACTGAATAATAAAATCGTTAATATATATTGTATTTTCTTGTTCTGAGATTTATAAAGACTAGTTATTGTTAGTGTATTAAAAGCAAAAGAGAAAGATTGTATTAGTAATCGATCTCAACTTATATAAGATTGTTAAAATTGATTAAGTTTGTGATTAACTTTATTGTTAAAAAACCAATATATATGTAATTACTATTACTTTTGAATCGTGATCCTGTGATATGTGATATCAAAAATCAGAATCTGAAAATTCGTTAAAACCCAGATGCACTTGAAAGGTAAAGAAACTCATATAGTAGATACTAGGAGAGAGAATTAAAAAGTAATAAGAAGTATCATTAATATTAGTAAATTCTAGTATGAAAAGTAGTAAGCATATCTTGAAACCAGTCTTGTGATTGCTGCAATATCGAATTATACCCTATTTCAGATCAAATTAAACTACACCTTATTCAAAGCTTATCAATTAGGGTATAAATTAAAAATATTACCAGAATCAGTAGTTTTTATATTAGTTTTAGTATAATAACTACCCTCATTAGATTAGTTTTTGTTTTTTATATTACTTTTAATCATTACAATATACTACGTATAATGCAAACTTATTTACAATATTAGTTATAGCTCATATAATGATGGGCTCTAATACTAGTATAATGATAAAGCTTTAATAAAATTATATAATACAATTGACAGGCTATAGAATATAAAATAAATGCTACAAACTTGTTATATAAATATTGCAAAGACCCCTTATAAGAAATTTTTACACTTGAGTACACATATCAGCATGAAATATAGTATATCCAAAATATTGAATTCATGTAAGTTGTACAGAATCTGTATGCAAGCAAAGTTAATAAACACGTAATTGTATAAAATTTTCTTATATGCACAATATATGCACAAAATAATAAACAGCTTATATGTAACTATACTGGAAATTGCAAGAAAAAGCAAGTAAAAAAGTATGCTATTACAAGTACTGTTGTGCTTTGTTACATGTCTAGAGCATGTTTTCTTACGCACTGTCCTGTATTGTATTTTATATAATTCTGTGATATTATATACCCATGTTTGATCATAAATCCTATGCACCATTTTTTATAGAGACTGTTATATAAAAAAACTATCAGAACTATGCATGAAATTGTTGGATCTACACTATTATAAATTCTAAGACACTTGTAAAATGACTGAAATGATAAGTTTTTGATATCAATAATTTATTGATTCTGTATGATAACTTTTTAATTTGATTACTGAAAAATATATAAGCAGCTAAAACACTGCCTATATAGAGTTTTGTTAACAAAAATCAACTTAAGTTTTTGCAAAATTAGATAAATTTTAGCACAGGATATATTTTTGTGAAAAATTGCATAAATGTTATATGAATATGCAATATTCAATTTTGTAAAACAATCTGATTTTTTTAATAATATTGTATTACCCAATCAAAAATGTTTTATATGCAGTTTTATAAATATATATTGCTGATTCTGATTGGTCAGCTCAGCTCTTTATTACGTCTAAAAATTAAAATTCTTTAGTTTGGGTTTATTGATCTAGCCAGGTTATGAAAACCAAAACTATAATTTTGTATAGTCTAAAAATTTTTTTTTAAAAAAATTTTTAAAAAAATTTTTATATAACCTTTGATCCAATCTTTTACTTAGTAAAAAATTCAAAATACCAAAATTAGCAAAATACAAAATATGTAAAATTATATGCTAAACAAATTTGCTTAAGAGATCAGAACAGATTATCTAAGTAGAAAAAAAAGTTTTATATAGAAACCCTGAAAATTTTGATATTAGTATATAGCAAACTTTTTTTTTACTAAGATAACTTTTTTATCTTCTAATTGAAAATTGTTTAAAGTATAATTTTACATATATTAAACACAAATCACTAACTCTTTCTAACGATCACTTGTACCAAATTCTCTCTAAAAACAATTGCACTTTACTCTTTATTTTATTAAGTTAACCTACT